GATAACAATGACAAGTAGGCCCTTGAATCGATTATTTTGACTAACATATGGAGATCATCACTCAAGGGTTTGTTCTCGATGGATTCACAGAACAGGCTAGTGATATTATTGTTTGTTTGGAAGATTTAGACAATATTCTGGATTCCTGCGTCTTTTATATGATCTGGATTGAAGCACTGAAGCAGCTTTTGCTTTTTCTTTTGAGATGCAATAAAAAAAGGTAACTTTTTGGAATACTTTTCCTACTTGAGATAAACTGCCTTGAAAATTCCCGAATTACAAATCCAGTGCAATAAGACAAAGACCTGAGATAAACTGCTTTTTTTTATGAGATCATCAAAGGGTACCTGAGAAGTTGGGGGGAAAAAAAAGACAAAGACTCTCCATAAGTTAGTACAAATGTTATGGCAAGGATCTTCTGCCCTCACGGCAAGATATGGTGACCAATAAGATATAATCGTGTGTTTTTTTGAAGTGAGAAATCAAAATTGCAACTTAAATTTGTAATCTTGTTATGGTAGGTGATTGTACGTAAACAACTTCATATTCCCCTTTTAGGGCTAGAAGACATAATCCCATGTATGTATGACTAAGCATTAGTGATGTCTTGTCTCCTTTATCCAGTTTAACGAGTGCTGTAAGTTTTGCTTTATGACTAAATACAATTGTAATCAACTGTCGCGTTTCCCAAACTTCCAATGCCATGCCTTTCATCATATATGCGATGCCAATCCCATCAGAAATTGCATATACCAAATAAAATTGCCGATGGATGATTGAGCTTCCTCATTCGCGCGTTGAGAAACAGGAAAAGAAGTTAAAGCTGCAGAGTGAAATGAGTCTGGTTTGGGCGTAATAAAACAGCTGTTCTCCCAGTGATTTTTCTCTACGTTCGTAGTCATTAATTTATTTGTTTTTCATTATGAATGTAACTAGTTAAACAATTAGCTAGTAGCTAGTGAAAAATTTTCATGAATCACATCAGTTTACGTAGTTGAACAACATTCATGATTTACTAGCTACTAGCTAGCTTTCTTCTTCCTTTTTTTTTAGGATTTTTTTTTTCATTAAAACCCTATCAGAAAAATAATAGTGCAATTTTAATGATAACCGTCAATACAAAATTCTTCCTTATGTCTTATCTTTCTTTAAAAAGAGAGAGAGAGGGAGGGAGGGACTTTCAAAAAGATTCCTGAATCCGGAGTTGATCTTTTCATACAGCAAATTAAACCCTAGAAGATTTTGCAATAGAGGAGATAGATACCACTGGAGCCGAAGTAGGCGACATGCCTGGACTGATCGTGGAAGGGGAAAGTGGTAAAGGAATCTCCAATTCTCTCTGGATTCGATCCTAAAAAACCTGTGAAAATCTCTCAACATGCATGCATGGTTTTACTGATAGGTTTTAAGCATATAAAAAACTGCACCATCCAGAAGAACCTCAGTACATGCTGCTGCATAGCAACTTACGCCAATTAAAGAAAGAACGACAATAATAAAATATTACTCCGATGCATTGGCAAATACCAAAACTACAAACTAGTACTACTGTAACTAGAGCACACTGCACCTTGTCATCATTGTCAGCAGTGATTAAAGAAATTCCGTATTCCGTACAGCCAAAGCAGCCAGAGCTAGCCCAGTTGACGATGTCCGTCAGGTTGAATTTTTTTTTTTTTGGTTTTAATTTCCATTTTTCTCTTTTCAATAAAAGTACTGGGTTTTTGGGTCAGAAAGAAAGAAACTGGGGTGAGATAGAGGAGTAAATGGACGAACCAGTGATTAAAAAACAATAAATATATTTGACAAAAAGGAGTAGAAATTGAACCTTACATCCTGGTCGGAGGTAAGGCGGTAGTTGGCCCGACAAAAGCTGCAAACCCTCACATGCTCCCCTTCTTGGATCATCGATTCTTGGGACTTCTGCATGCTGCTGTTGCTGCTGCTGCTGCTGCTGCTGCTGGTGGGGTGGGGGAGCTCCTTCTTCGTCCTGCGGCTTCAAACTTGAAACTGCAGCCGACTGCAATGTGCAGTTTGCATGAGCACAATTGCCGTTTGAAAAATTCCTAGGCGGTGGTGAAGATACAGGATCTATCGCCACTGTACTCCACTGTAGTAAGTAATTTATGAATCACATTTTGGAACAAAATAATTACAAGACGGGTTTTCGATTTTATTAGTCACCAAATGAAGAGGATTAATTTTAATCATTTAGTAATAAATTGCGACTAATAAATATGTGAAATCACATCATACCATAGTATCACGTAATAATATATATGCACAATACCTTCCACGATGAAATCTCTATTTACACGCACCTCCTCGTACCATTTCGACCACATGCATCATGGAGTAATCTTGATAAAGATAACAAAGATGAGGAAGAATCGTGCATCATGGATTAATCTGCATCGATCTCTTTCATCTTAGACGATGCATCATGGATTTTCCCTTACTTTCAAGGATTGACGGCTTCCTTGTGATGCAGACATGGGCCATTACAGTAATTCAATTTCTGATCATCATCTGGTGTATTAATTGACGAAGCTTATTTAATCATCTGATTTCAAGGTAAACTATATCCATCAAACAATGACGAAATTTGACATGCATACTAACGTTGCTTAGCTACATGGTCCACAAGTTCTTCTTTTTCTTTTTTCTTTTTTGAGGAAAAGAATAAAGTTTTTTTTCCCCTTCTCATTACTTTAAGAGAAACTTTTTCTTGTTTATTTAACAATCGAATACAGCCCAAAACCTATCAATTGTCAAAACACACTGCATCAAAAAAAAAATAAGTTTTTATCTATTTTTATGCAAAGTACTGCTAACTTTTCTAAGTTGATGCTCGAACAACTTCTTTTTGTGTACTTTAATTGCGTTGAAATATTATTATTATTATTATTATAATGTCCAAACTCCATAATTTAAGGCATGTGAAAAATCTCCGGTTTTTGCGGCTTTGTGGCTAATAAAGTTCGTTTTCTTTACATTTTTCAATTAAGTTAAACATTAATTAATTTATGATACGTTATCAAAGCACTGCTGCATTCACAATTTAAGAATCATAATAACCATATATGGTGTGTAATTATTATTGTTACTCTACTCTTGGAAAAATCTTTTGCAGAGGGAATTAATAATTTTGATTGATGTAATAGTAAAAAGTTGCAGTACTAAAGAAAGATGCAATGTGGTAGAAGCGTGAAGCTTTCTCCAAGTGAAAAAGGTTTTTCAAGAAGACTAGAGGAGACAGCATAATGCTTGTATTAAATTTAGTCCTGCGGTTCCCAATTAATTGTGATGTTCAAGTATTTTTCAAAGTGTCGTCAAAGGAATCCTTTGCGTGTATCGGTTGGGATTATTGTTTGTCCAAAAAGCCATTAAATACCAGCAAAAGTTGAATCAATTCATCAAAAGTTAAATTAAAAAAAAAAAGTAAACTGTTCAAGCCTTCTGTTCTTCTAGGTACATATATAATTATTCTTGGAAAAGGGATTAGAAGAACAAAAAAAAAACATATAAATGTAACCATAAGATGAGGATGATTCATGTTAATTAGTAGCATTAAGAACATTTTGTAGGCTTTCATTGAATGGTAAAAGCTAATAAGGGATAAGTTGTACAAGCTAATAGGTTTCTTCTTTGTTTTTCCTTCCACTTTGTTTCTTTTTTAAAAGTAGAAACTTAAAAGCACTGAGAACAATGGATTTGAAAAGCTATCGTTCTCAAATTACCCTTTCGTATTTCCCTTGATTTTTACTCCATGCATAGCTGGTTTTGCCTTGATTACAACAATATTTGATGGATAGGAAACAAATTCCCAGAAACTCATCCCCTACCAATAGAAAAGACAACACGAAAACTTACCTCGTTTGGATGCTAAGTTTTTAGAATTTTTATAGAAAAATGAGATGTATATGAGGTAACTAAAAATATGTTGAGAGAATTATTCTGCAGCTTTTTAATCCAGCAAATCTGACCCTTTATTAGCAATAATTCTTTTCCAATGATTCGAAAGAAAAATTAGGACCAGTTGCAAAATAATAAGTTGTTAATTCACATCCAATCTTGATTAATTAGTTGAAACTTTAACATTTTATGGATCGATTTCAGCTAGTAAACTTCCTTCCAGAGCTAAAACAGAAAACTCATAGACAAGTGTCTCAAAACCAACATCTTAATTGAGTATCAAAACAGAAATCCCTCATGATGTGATTGTGAAAATATTCTCAAAAGTTCAAGTTCTAACTTCATTAAATATCAGCTGGTTGTTTCATTATAATTCAAACTGATTTTAGTTAGTACCATATTACTAGTATGATGTAATTCGTCTCTACTCTCTACATGTCTTTCAAGCTACTCTACGTGTTTAAATTAAGAAATGTTAACAAATTAGTATTAGCATATGTAAGTGAGAGGTCATATGAAAAATTTTGGGAGGCTTAGATTGTTTAATTTCTTTTAATTTTGAGTAGTTGTTAGTAATGTTATATAGTACTAAGCCTTCCATATTAGTGCTTTTTTTTAGAAAAAAAAATATAAGCAAGAGATTCCGAATCATTTTCTCATCACCCAACTCATCCTTCCCCCTCCCGAGCGGGCGTGGGGGTAAAGAACAATAGTGATCAACAAATGTCATCTCAGAACAAAACACGGCTTAAAATTCCACAACTCATTAAACCAGACTTTGATAAATAACCTCACCAATAATATTCTAAATAATGATGTCGGCCTATTCTTTACAAATTACTATACCCACGTTACATCACAGCCTTACAATTTAAATTTTTTTTTTTTTTTCAAAACTACCACAACCTCACCATAACTCCGACATAAAACAGCATCCAACACAATTATTATTATCATTATCTTTTATTTTTGGGCACTACAAAATTATTGTTATTATTATTACCATTGTTAATTACTGCTCCTTACAGTTTATTATTATTCATTAAAAGCATTAAGCATTTCCATGTAAAAAAGTACTTACATCATAACTGCTGTTATCAATCAGCACTCCTACTACTCTTATTACAAAACTGGCTTGTCGGAGCACTAGTATAAACTATAAAGCAGGTCCGGTTTGATTGGCGTCAAAATTTCCGGCGAGTTTCAAGATTCCCTCTCCTACCAACGTGATCTAAGCTGCTCTGCCTGATCCTGGATTCCCGCGCCACCACGGGCCACTCTTACTTGCTCAAATTCTGTTTGGTTACGTTTATGGGACATCCTTAGTTTGGTTCAGGGCAGCTTTCTACTTTCGGAAACTTTGGGTCTGCTTTCATTCTCCGGCGGAACTTGCCGGCTGTTGGGACTTTCAGCGGCTGAACTGTGATGGATTTTTCGAGTTCTAGCGGAATTCGGCTTTGTATTGGCATTTTCAGTTGTGTTTGGATGGTGGGACAAAATCTTTCAGCTGCGGAAGGTTTATTTCTTTTTTGAAAGAGAAGGGAAGTTTTGTGAAACTTTAAGGACTAAGAAGAAAAAGAAAGATTGAATAGTGGTTTTTGTAGATTGAGAATTTGAAGAAAAGTTTTTTGGATTCTTGGCAAAGTGGGAGTTTGTATAATGTCTTTGAAGAGTTTCAAATTACTGTTTTTGCAGAGCAAAGCAGTTTCTTTTGTGGGATTTCAGAGTCTTTTTTTGTCAATTCTAAGAGAATACGTTTTCTTCCATTGCAGACTGATTCCAGTTAATAGTATCTGATTACTAGAAGATTTTAATTAGTTAGATTGTGTAGATTGGTGTTTGTGAATCCATTTTGCTGAAAAATGAAGGCTCCAACAAATGGTTATCTTGCTAATTCAGGAGAAGGTAAGCCTCATTTGCTCAATTGCATCTATAGTTCTTCAGTTTTGCTAGTCGTTCCTTTTAATCATTTTTCTTCTTTCTCAGTTTTGTCTGAATTTTTATTTTTGACCTTCTTTTGATGTTCATGAAAGAGGCTTATGGAAAGTTCTTGTTCCTCTGTTAATTCATGAATTCTAAAATTTTTGAAAGATTTAATTTTTACTATTTCAGTTCTCTTACAAACCTAAAAGCAACTCCCGTGCCTTTCCGTAGTGTGTGTCATCCCTTTTTCACCACTTTCTGATTCTTGCAATTCTGGAGATTGTTTCCTTTATGCCCTGGACCAAATTTTAGCTTCCTAATGTATCTTGGCTACATCTGGACTCACTTTATAACTGATATGTTTCTTCAATTGAAATTTTGAACATGTAAACTAAATTCTTTTGAACAATTTTAAGGATTTTTTTTTCAGCCAAACGCATGCTAAATAAGCCTGTTTCTTTTTAGCTTCTTGTAGTATTATAATTTCTTGCTCTGGAGGAATAATTGATTTGAAGAAACTTATATATATATATATATGTATATATGTATGCATGTATGTATGTATGTATGTTATTTTAGTCCCTCTTATATCTGTACTGTGGAATGGCTATGATTCTTAACGTTGATTTTCCTAGAGTAGCTGTAATAGTTTCTACCAGTTGGGCGGATAGCTAATTGTCAGCTTGATATCTACGTTATAGGGTTTTTGACACTTAAAACTGAAATCTAGCAGTAGTGCATCTAATGTCAATGACATACTCTTTTGAGAGAGAAAATTAGGAGGAGCTGATAGAGAGGTTCTAGAAGCTCAAATGTTTTTGTCTAGCACAGAGAGAGAGAGAGAGAGAGGGAGTAATGCTCTAGGATAGCAAATATTTTATTTAAGAATTTTCAGTTAAATTTACAGGTTCATCTTGCATGAAATACCATTCAAGCTATAACCTATAAGCCTTTTGACCTTCAAACTCAAACTTAGTAGCTTCTGCTGTATCAAATGTCAGCATATACTGTTCTCAGTAGTAAAGTTGTGGTGCAACAGTCTTTCTTATTGAAAAATGCATCTTATAATGATCTTCTTGTCATTTTGTGACATTCATTATCTTGTGTGGATGTGTGATTATTTCCTCCTTAGCTCTTTCTCAATGTCGGCTAGAAGAACCACTTTTTATTGGTGATCTAGATTCATTATGGAAAAGAAGTTGATCTTGATGACTTTAGTTTTTAGGCATGAAATGCATTTTTATACTGTTCTGCATATATGAAGTTGGCATAGCAAGTTCAGCAACATGAATTGTTAGAATTTTCTGGAAATCTCATTACATTAATGTAGTTATCATGTTCTCCATGTTATAAATTTTTAGGACATTAGACAAATTAAAACTCACTGGATCTTGTAGTTAGTCTTCTGATATTGCTGTTTGGTCTTCAACAGGAGAACGAAAGGCAATAAATTCTGAGTTATGGCACGCTTGTGCTGGTCCACTGGTTTCCTTGCCTCCTGTTGGAAGTCTGGTGGTCTACTTTCCTCAGGGTCACAGTGAACAAGTATGTTATCTTTATGTTTATTCTGAAATGTTGCAAGACATCTGTCTCTAATCAGAGATTTCTTTATATGTATGTTCTCCAGGTTGCAGCATCTATGCAAAAGGAGACTGACAGCATCCCCAGTTATCCTAACCTGCCATCGAAGTTAATTTGCTTGCTGCATAATGTAACTCTACATGTATGAGAACTCCTTGCCATTCAGTGAATAGGACATGAAATTGTCACAAAGTGTATTGATTGACATATTCACCTGTTTGGTGATAGGCCCATACCTAAATTTTAAGACTTGTAAATGGAAAGTGCATATTGATGTTAGATTACCATTTCTTCCAGGTTGTTCATGATTGTCTTATGCCTTAACGTGTTGCTTTATTTCTAGGCTGATCCTGAAACTGACGAGGTCTATGCACAGATGACTCTTCAACCTGTAAATAAAGTAGGTCAGCTATGTTATGTCAGATTCAATAAAGATATTGTAGTCTAAAATCTGGCTTTTCTTGCTTTGGAGCATAACTTAAGCAGAATAAACACTCTAAAGAAGCATTGGAAACTTTTCCTTGTTTGGCTGACAGTATGACCAGGAAGCGTTACTCCTATCAGATATGGGCCTCAAGCAAAGCAGACAACCTGCTGAATTTTTCTGCAAAACTCTTACAGCCAGTGATACAAGCACACATGGTGGATTCTCTGTACCACGTCGAGCTGCTGAAAAGATTTTTCCACCTTTAGTATGTGCAGTTACTGCAAATCTCCTATATTGTGTTAAACTTAGTACATGTATTGGTTGTGGTCTTGTTATTCGGCTAATACTGATTTTCTTTTTTAGGACTTTTCAATGCAACCACCTGCTCAGGAGCTAGTGGCTAGGGATTTGCATGACCAAACATGGACATTCAGACACATATATCGAGGTTCTTATTTTTCCATAGCTTTTTGTCCAACCAAACTATTTCACTTTCGTATGGTTTTGATGCTTCATAAGTTTCTGTGAAGCAGTACTTGTAGAATGGTGTGGTCCTGTAGACGTTAGATTTATTCATGCTATATAGTTTGGTTCATATTTTAGCTTTAATGAAGCTGATAATCTTTAGCTGTTTCTTGACTGCTAATATTGGTCGATAGCGAAAAACTTACTAAAACTGCTATTTGATAACCCTAGGTCAACCAAAAAGACACCTATTGACAACAGGGTGGAGTGTCTTTGTCAGCTCTAAAAGACTGGTGGCTGGTGATTCAGTCCTATTCATAAGGTATGAAGAGATTGCTAAAACTTTCTGGTTTCAACAGTATTCTCATCGCTAAAGTGAGAAAATTTCATGTAGAGATGAAAAGTCGCAGCTTTTATTGGGTATAAAGCGTGCTAATAGACAGCTGCCTGCACTCTCATCATCAGTTATATCTAGCGATAGCATGCACATTGGAATTTTGGCTGCTGCAGCTCATGCTGCTGCCAATAGCAGCCCCTTTACTATTTTTTACAATCCAAGGTAGTAAAGTGATGCCTTGTTGCTCCAATTTGAATGCCATTGGCTTATATCAAACTTGTGGAGATTACCGCTGATGTGATTTTTTTGATTTTAACAGGGCTAGTCCTTCTGAATTTGTAATACCTTTTGCCAAATATAACAAAGCCATGTATGCACAAGTTTCCTTGGGAATGAGATTTAGAATGATGTTTGAGACTGAAGAGTCTGGAGTGCGTAGGTACATGGGTACAATTACTGGTATTGCTGACTTGGATCCAGTCCGCTGGAAAAGTTCACAGTGGAGAAATCTTCAGGTATGTTGGCTTTGGTTGCTGAGTCCATGAAACATGGGTTAGATGAGTAGCAGTACATACCATGGTGATGCATCATAGCTCCCAAGAAAGGAAGTCAGTAAATGCATTAAAAGTACTGAATGTGCAATTAAACCCAGATCCATGCATCTAGAACTTTCGTACATGAAGTGGTTATTCACACTACCAGTATTGATGTTTTTACTATCTCTGAATCTCCGTGTAATTGTTGAATTGCATGTCTCCAATTGAATTTTTGTCAGAAAGTGAAAAATATGTTTGCATGCTGATTCAAGCCTCTTGATGTATCATGTTGCTTGCAATTCTAATCTGATCTTGTGGGACTTTTCTCAAGAGCTGGCTTTGATGAAGATCATGATTTATTGTTCTTGTGTCTTACTGTTGTCTCTTCACTGAATATAATTTTTAAAGTTCAACCTGAACAACAATGCCTAGATGAATAAATAATGTAACTGTCAAGTTCCGACTTCTCTAACTTGGTCTACTTATGTTTCTGATACTTTCATATCAGAAGCTAGATGTAATAACCCAACACTACTCGGTTGTGAAGAAATAAGGCTGTTGATTTTCACTTTCTTGCCTGTATGCTCAGTCTACTGAATTTCCAATTACCAAATTGAACATTCTAGGATGAAAGCACAGATGTACAGACACATGTTTCTAGATAAGGTTAATAAATGATATATATGGACTTATTATCCTTATCGGCACTAAGATTTATGGATAATGAATTAATGACCTTGTATTTGGTAGGTTGGATGGGATGAGTCTACAGCTGGGGAACGTCCCAGTCGAGTTTCAATTTGGGAAATTGAACCTGTTGTGACTCCTTTCTATATATGTCCACCCCCATTTTTCAGACCCAAGTTTCCTAAACATCCAGGCTTTCCAGGTAAGAAAAGTTCATTTGTAGCACATTTCCCTTATCCTGTTGAGTTTCCAATATTTAGACTTTATATACTTTCCCCATAACCGTCTGTCCCTAAGTTAACATATTCATCAACTTGAAAGAGGATACTTGTTATAGAAAGTAGAAAATTCACAATCATTGGATGACCAGAAATTGAAATCAGATCCGACATTCTGTTATTCAAAGCACATTTTTTGGATAATGTAATACTCCCTGCTGCAAGTTACATCTATCCATACTCTGTATCTTGTTGAAAAGCTTGTCACCTCTTCAAACCAGCAGATTCTCTGCTCTGAGTCTGTTTAAACGTCTGCAAAGTGCAGTGATCGATGCTGGAGAATTGATTGTCAAGGAGGAGCATTGTACTTGCATTTGGTAGATCTTATCACTCACTACTTCCATAATGTGCCGCTTTTGCAGATGATGAATCTGACATGGAAAGTGTGTTTAAGAGAGGCATGCCCTGGCTTGGAGATGATCTTGGCCTCAAAGATGCCACCAGCTCTGTATTACCTGGCTTGAGTTTGGTCCAGTGGATGAACATGCAACAGAATAACCAATTATCTGCTGCTCAGTCAGGAATTTTTCCAAGCGCCTTAAATGGTAATTTGAGCACAGAAGATCACTCGAAGCTGTTGAATTTTCAATCCCCTGCACTTGCTGCAACAAATCTCCAATTTGGGAAGACAAATCAATTCAATCAGCAAACTAATCAACTCCAGCAGACATCTTTGGTGGGGACCCAACCACAACAGCTGCAGCAGTTGTTGCATTCTTCTGTGAATTCCCAGCAGCAACAACATCCACAACAGCATTCAATCCAGCTTCGGCAGCAACCCCAACTACCACAGCATCAGCAACAGTGTCCTCCACATTTGCAGCAGCCGCAGCAGCTGCAGCAACAACAAAATATGATGCCGTTGGCTTCTGTTAATAATGGTCCCTCTGTAGCAACCAGCCAGATTCCAAATCAGAATTTGCAGCAGCCTGCATTATACTCCCAGCTTCAACAGCAACACTTACTGACAGGAAATACACAACCACAGCAACCTGCCTCATCTAACAAAAGTTCTTTAACATCCTTACCCCAAGATGTGCAGTATCAGCAACTGGAACACCAGAATAACCTATTGCAGAAGACCCAGCAACAGCAGACACCTATGCTTCAAGCTCCACTACAGACACTGCAGCAAAATTTAATCCAAAGACAGCAAGTACAACAGACATCACAACAGAATCTTTCAGAGCAGAACCTGCAACTCCAGCTACTCCAAAAATTGCAGCAGCAACAGCAACAGCAACAGTTGTTGTCCCCGTTAAGCAATCATTTGGAGCCTCAGTTGCCCCAACAACAGCAGCCTCTTCAACAAAACCGACCGTTCCAGCAAGCACCAGTTGCTCAACAGCAACCCAGTGGCAACAGCTTTTCAACATCTACGCTTCTGCAGTCACCACAACATCCTGTTAACCAACTCCAAGGTCAGAACAAATCACGTATTTTTGTCAAAGCCTATTCTGGACCAACAGATGGAGATGCTCCATCATGTTCAACATCACCTTCAACAAATAATTGCCATGTGTCCTCATCAAAGTTCCCGAATAGGAACCAACAAGGGCCAATCACTCAGGCAGGAGAATCGGTCATTGATCCTTCCCCTATCCTGGTTCATGAGCTTCAGAGCAGGTCTGATGTCCGAGTAAAGCATGAATTATCCGGCTCAAAGGGAGCAGAGCAACCTAAATTCAGAAGCAATACAGAACACTTGGATGCAGCCTCATCTGCTACATCATATTGCTTGGATACTGGTGGCATCCAACAGAATTTTCCACTGCCTGGCTTATGTTTGGACAGTGATGTCCAATCGCATTCTAGGAGCACTCTGCCTTTCACTTCCACTGTTGACTCATTGGCGCCTGACGCTTTGTTATCAAGGGGTTATGACTCAGGAAAGGACATCCAGAATGTGCTTTCTAATTATGGTGGCAGCTCGAGGGATATTGAGACAGAGTTATCTGCTGCTGGTTTTGGAGTTCCAAACATGTCTTTTAAACCAGGCTGTTCAAATGATGTACCCATTACTGAAGCTGGTGTCCTGAATAGTGGCCTGTGGCCCAACCAAACTCAGCGCATGCGAACGTACACAAAGGTAACTGAGTTCTTGCAGGCATATCAAAATTTTCTGCTCCTATATTCTGCAGAAGAATTTATTATTATTATTATTATTATTATATTTTTTTTTTTGAAGCAGGGGAGGGGTGGGAACTTGAACCCAAAACCTTTAACTCCTGAGGTTTCAACCTCAGCCACTAACCAAGGCCTCCTCTGCAAACATTTTGCAGAAACCTGCTATCATGGTGCATCACAATAAACTAGATCCACTATTGTAGTGATTAGCTCTGTTTCTTCTGTTAGACTTGCTCGCAGAGATGCAACAAAGTGGTTCAGTTTAGGATATGCAACTTCTGCCCCTATTGTTTAACTTATTATTTCAGAAATAACAGTACCATCTAATACTGGTTGAAAAATGGAAAAGGTTCAAAAACGTGGCTCTGTGGGAAGAACTATTGATGTCACGCGCTACAAGGGCTATGATGAGCTTAGGCATGACCTAGCACGGATGTTTGGAATTGAGGGACAGCTAGAAGATACACAAAGGATTGAGTGGAAGCTTGTCTATGTAGATCATGAAAATGATATACTGCTCGTTGGTGATGACCCATGGGAGTAAGTTCTGGCAGCTTGCCAATTAAGTCAAAGTTAAATTAGTATAATGTGCTAACAAATGGTGCTAACATTCTTCACAGGGAATTTGTGAGCTGTGTCCAGAGCATAAAGATTCTTTCCTCTGCAGAAGTACAGCAAATGAGTTTGGATGGAGATCTAGGCAATCTACCTGTGCCGAACCAAGCTTGCAGTGGGACTGATAGCGGTAATGCATGGAGAGGACACTATGATGACAACTCAGCCGCCTCATTTAATCGATGAGAGCATTCTGTAATCCCAAATGAATGTAGACCTTCAGCTCTCAAGGCTCCTCGGCCTTTAGCAACTTGGATCAAGCCTAACTCATTTTAACCACTAATGTCGAAGAAGGCTTACAAATAGAGTAGCAAGTGACAACTATATCTGTGTGTTAGCCCCTGGCGCTTCGTAACTTGAATTTGCCTTAGACACGGCTGAGAGTAAACTCATGTTGGTGTGCTTGCTGCCTGCAGCTTCTAAGAGTTGAAATTACTCTCCCGTGCCAGTTGGTTCAAGTCTGTACCCTCCTGCAATTTATACTGCGAATTGTAAAGGCTTACTCTAGAAAAGATCAGATGATGTAAATCTCATTTTCTGTAATCATTTTAAGTAGGTTGCTAAGGCGTCAAGCTTTTGATAATATTTAGCTTGATATAGCCGCCCCATATTACATTCTTGGATGTTATGAGGACTTTCCAAGATAAGGCTGCATAGCTTAATTCACGGACTTTCGAACACCAAGTACATCCTTTCTTTGAGAACATCCTTCAGTGCAGACCTGTTTTGTCTTCAAGACTTCTACTCCGGCGGAACAGTCTCTTATACCTGCACTATTCCACTATTGCATGAGTTGTTACGAGGTATGAAATTCTTCCAATTGTTTGCGTGACCATTTCTCAAATTTGTCTGCTTTAATTAACCATCGATTTAACCTAGTCACCGACGTACATGCCTCTCAAAAACATGCTACATACTCGAAAAAGTCAAGCGTTTGATGCTGCACTCTACGGTAAGCATGCAAGCACGCTGTTGTCAGAACTGGGCGGCCATGGAACCAATCATTTGACTATAGCGCAAACGTTACTCGTACTAGTTCAAGAAGGAAATGTGATGATTGATAGTGCAAATTGTTAATTCGAGCGGAAAAGCACTTAATATGAAGTGCTTAAAGCCTACATGCATTAAACAAAAATTAAAATTGAAAGCTCAAACTTCATTTGATTATCACCTATTCGGGCAATGTAGATACAATTCGGGAGGTAAATGCCTCACCCCGCCTGATCTCGCTTTCCTTAGAACTGAGCAGCACTATCTTACCGTCACAGAGAAGATGCACATACCAACCGAAAACGCAGTTCCCCATGCGGATTCTAGAAAAAGCAATTTTCACTTATCGAACAACATTCTATTAACTGTAGCAAATCAATCAAGTATAATCATTTAAGTTGAGACTTCTCTAACTCAACATATCAGAAATCTCAATTTGCCAAAAAGTGATTGCAGAACCCCAATGATGACAAAAGAGCAACTCAACCAACTACAAGGAGAGAATAGACACAGATAACACAATCACTAGCTTGCTAAAAAAACATATTTTTTGTTGATGTGATTACATCCATGTCCTCACATTTAAAATTGCTCAAATTTTCCGGATGAAACCAAAAATGCATACATATTCAATTAGGCAATCTAGGAGAGGACAGCCATCACATCCGATGCCCTCAATGCAATATAGTCTGAATCATCACTGCCCTTGAAATCATTACCAGCATATTTGGAGTACAACACTGTATTTCCGGGGGATACTGACAATGCCTTCCTGTTCCCTTCTTCATCAAGAGGACCAGGCCCGACAGCTATTACCTGTCATCAAAAGGATGCCGGAAATAACAAAAATATTAACTCACTCCCAGAGAGAGAATAGAAAATGGAGAAGCAAGAAAAACAGATAAAACTTAAAAGAAAAAAGAAAAAAAAAGGAACGAGGAACATGGGAGGACCCTATACAGAAACAGGAAAAGAGGGCACAGACTGGGAAGAAAGGAGGAAATTTGTTCTCTGCTAAATGAGGAGAAAAAATTTCACAGGGACTAGCAAACTAATTAGCTGGTTAGGTAGTTCTTACCGTGCCAATGGAAGGCCTCTCCTTGGTTGCCTCTGTCAGCAACAAGCCTCCGGCTGTTTTCTCTTCAGCCTCAGCTACCTGATTTACAATAAGACAGAACAAAGCATGAGCCATGCCAGTCCATCAAGAGGTGAACCTAATGCCTAAAAAAAATTGCAGATCATGGCAGCAGTTGATTTTACAACTCATTAAAACACCCTGGAGTAAAAGTGGTAAATGATACTTCACAAAATGGATGAATATGCTCATTCCAACACTAAACCCGAAAAGATGCTACAGTTGCTCGTCTTAAGCTTTCTTAGGTACGTCTCTATTACGCAAATTTCTTTTAAGTTATCAGGCATTGATTATTTTGATAACAAGTTAAAACAGAGGTCCAGTTCTTACAATTGCATATTTTCTCATGGATTACATAGCCCAGCAAAGCAGCAAAGAAAAACTAATTAAAGGTGAAAACAACTGTATGAAAGTCGACATGTACCTTTATCAGCACTCTGTCATTCAGAGGCTTCATGTCCTTGACGTCATCTGTATCAAGAATACCAACAATGTCATCCTCCTTCAATATAAGATGATTTGATCCATTAAACTCAACCTCTGTCCCAGCATACTTGGAGTAGACAATTTGGGTCCCAGTCTACATGTTAAAAGAAGAATCAGCTTTCAAGCCCCAAGAAACACACACAAAAATTAATTCAAAAGTGTTTAGCAATTTACCTTGACACTGATGTCCACCTTGCTCTTGCCAATTGTGCGACCCTCTCCAACAGCTACAACCTCACCTCCTTGAGGTTTCGTCTGTGCACTTGTTGGCAATAGGATACCACCTACAGACTTCTCTTCTGGAACCTTAATCTTCACCAAGACTCTATCACCCAAGGGCTTCAGTGAGGTGTACTACAACACAGCAAAAGATCCGGAACAGGTATCAAGTAACACTACAGAATACTCGCAAAAGCAAATCACCCAAATTATCAAACTTAGCGGCAGATGTAGCTTACCACCAAAACCCTGTAATATGTCATGAAACTTCTTTACCTATGTACGGGATATTGTGTACTGTTATCCTATTGACAAATTCTTTAATTCCTTCCAATTTCAAGCAGATGCATTCAGGCATTTACAATTTGAATTTAAATAAATACCTGAACAGCATATAAAACTCAAAGACACAAGCAAGAGACAAAGGCCTCTCTCCACCATTATACCGCATTTACACATTGTTAAGCACATAGCAGATTATGACAATGCGTAGCACTGGAACATTTGGGTGTTCCCTTCGACAATTGTGAACTAGCAAAGAGCCCAATACTTTTAACACTACTTCAACCACATACCCTTGTGTGTAGCAGTCAGTTTGACCTTCACTAAAGCATCTAATAAAGAATTTCTTCTTTCGATCTTCTACAGTGCATAAGTCAACTAGATTTCAAAAGGCCTAACACCTAAAAATAAAAGCAAGAAAACACAACACTAAGCACGACTCAATTAATCCAAAAGAAAAAAAAAATCAGAAAAATGACTGCTACATAAATTTCAGCTAAAATAAGATACCTTAGGGGCAACAACAGCGGCAGCTTTAACAACAAGGCCACGGAAAGACCTCGTAGAAAGGCCATTTTGCCTCAGAGGTGCAAAAGTAGAGGCTTTGACTGTGGTAGAAGAAGCCCTTAAGCCCTCAAAGGATACAAACCCCTTTGCTGAGATTGTTGATGCCGTCAACTGAGCTGTTGCCATTTCTCTGCATTCAAATATCAAAGCAAACCCATAGACTTCAAACCCTTAACTGAGAGGGAAAAATATAGAACTTTACATCATAATTGAAATTGAAGATTGGTAAAATTGGTGAAAACTCGAAGATTGGTTAAATTTCGATCAGATAGTACAGAGGAGATTGAACCTGCTTACACGTTGGAGGGGGGTTTGATGCAACCGAAGAAACGTAGGCGTTTGAAAAGGAAAACGATATAAGCAGTAGAGCAAGGAAATGGATAACAAAACCCTAGAACCTTCTTAAGTAGCGCAGTGTTTTTTTGGGGGTTTTGGATGGAGGATAAAAGAGTGTTCTAGAACTTGTTGGATGGAGCCCTCTTTTTTTTCTCTTTCTTTTTTTTTTTTTTTCTTTTTGAAGCATTGGATGGAGCGTTGTTTACTTGTTTTCTTGTCCATAGGCGGGATTGTGTAAAAGTATTTGTCCTTTTTTTTTTTTTTTTTTGAAGGATATCCCCAGTGAAGGACATTTTAATGTGTAATCAATAAGATATATGCTCCTTACCTAAGAGAGATTGCAAACATATGCTGTTAAAAGACACCCCAATATCGATTAGGTACATCACTTCATCAGCAGCATCCCAAAAATGAAGATTTTAATACCCGTTTGGATTGCTATTTTTTAAAATTTTTAGTTAAAAATTGTAGTGTAACAATTTAATGTACATAAAATAAATAAAAAAAGTGATTGAAAATTATAAAATTAAAAGAAAAAAATTGCAATCCGAATTCAAATGTTAGTATACGTAAAAGCCATCTTTAATAAATTTAATCCCATAGCAGCATAAGAATAAGTTATTCATTAACAGATTGGTACAATATATTATTATTTTAGTAAGTCATAATACATATGATAAGTAGTTATTATTAACATACAAATTCAATAATTCAGTCAATAAATAGAAATGCGAGAATTAAAATTCAATAACTATTCTCAATACTCCTCTACTAAACTTTTAAGTTTGATATCCGATATAAATTGGATTGATTGATTTTTATTTTAATCTTTGTTGAAATTTGAACATCCTTATGCAGGCAGCTATGGCAAATTGTAGTAACATGTTCCTTGACCAACAAAATCCCCCCCCTTTTTTTTTTACTACTTTTTGTTTTCTTTTTCCTTTTCCCTCCACTGACCAAAAGTGATGAAATTATGCACTCTCTGGAATTTATTTTTAACGGGCATGAGAAACAATTGCCGTCAAGGTGTCAATGATGTTACCCGTATCAAGCGACTGACAACTGACTGAAGGTCGTTGGGCCTTACGAGGGGTGGGTTTGCAAGAAGACGCAGTCATTATTGTCGGCGCAAGCACAACTCCTGAACTTTGGGCTTATTGAAGAGGCCCCCTCAACTTTTCACTGCAATGCATCACATACATACCGCGATAAACAAAAGAACATGTCAGCATCAAAGCCCATGGAAGAGAAAAAGCACAAAAAGTTCAGGGCCTGTAACGTCAATTTTTTGCCCTTCTATGACAATTAGCGAAACCAATAGGTGGAAGGAGAGAAAGCGAACTCGATTGTAACGGTGGAAGACGAGTCAATGAAAAATATTAAAAAAAGTGTTACAATATTTTTTTTTTTTTCAAAAACCTATCCCAAATAATAACTATCCAAACATGCTCGGGTAGAACCAGAAATTAAAACTTTACCTAATTTGGAGAGACTCGTAACAAGGGCGAGAACGAGATTTTCAGAGGTTGAGCCAACCAGATTCTACTACCCAATAGCAATAAAGTGAAAAACACATATTAAATAACTTTTTCTAACCTAAAAAACTCCGCATTTTTTGGGAAAAAAAATACCGAGTCTCGTAGGGTAGAAAAATGTTTTTAGTTTAAAAAAATTTTTTTTGGGGGGTGCTTGTCATTGTATTACCACGATTGAGAACAACAACAAA